AAACCAAATGAAACCAAAAAAATTTTAATGTTTGGAGATAAAAAATTAAAATTAAATATCGAAAAGACCATAAAATCAAAATTCGGATGACGCATGTTTAATTTTTGGCTTGACTCTCATTTGTCCCCAGTGGAGTCACCAAGCTGTTAATGATTTTTCATTCGAGGGGACTCGATTGCTAAACTTGGTGAAAATTTTTGGAGTCACCACCAATCTTTTATAAGGGTGTGATTGGCCACCCAAAATATCATCTTTTAGTAAAAATTTTAAAATTAATTAAAACCTACTAAAAGAAGTTTAGGTCTGCGAAATCAAGACTAAGTCCGAGAGTACGGTTACGAGGAAGGTATTAGTACCCTCACGTCGCCCATTCGAAGAACGGTACCATTTAAGCATGCGTAATCCTATAATTTTGATAATGGGGTCTTTTTTATTTAAGTTTAATTTCCTAAAATTTATTTTAAAACATTTTTCTTTGTTTCGAAATTAACATTATTATTATTATTTCGTATTCTATAAATTCTCCAACGCTTTGGTGGAATTTATAGAAAATTACTATTTAAAAAATATTTTGAGAAAATTGACCATTCACAAAATTCTCGAAACTTCATCATAAGATATTTTAATTATTTATTTTAAAAAGGATTTTAAGAACATCCCGACTCTTTGGTGAAATCTAAATATTATTGTTATTTTAAAATTTTGTATTATTTATTCTTTAATTATTCTTTATAAGAAGAAATTTAGATTATCCCGACTCATCGGTAAAATCTAAATATTAATCTCTTGTTTGTATTGAAGAAAATCGAACTCTTTCAATTTTTTATATTTTTAAATATTCAAAATATCAATTATTATTATTTTTATTATTATTATTTTTTTATTATTGTTTTATATTGTTTAAATCAATCATTATTTTAGTAAAAATAATTTCAGATTATCCCAACTCTATGGTGAAATCCAAAAACTTATTTTTACTTGCAATAATTAAATAAAATTAAACTCTTTTAGCTTTTCTCTAAAAATTGCATACAAAAGATTCATTTAAACAATTTATTTTTTATTTTTTAGCAAAAATTATTTTTTTAAATTATCCCAACACTTTAGTGAAATTTAAATAATATTTTTGCTTGTAATGGAATTTATTTCCTTTAAATAATTATTATTATTAATTTTTTTATTTATAATTTTTTATGTTTTTATTTTATTTCAGTTTCATTTTTTATTCCATTTATTTATTTATTTTTAAAAAATAATTACCAGTAATAATATAAAATAACAACAACAACAACAATAATAATAATAATAAATCATAAAAAAACATAAAAATCAACATAAAAAATTAAAACGAAAAATAAAAAGAAAAAAAAAACCTATGAAACGGGTCGGATTGGTGCGTGGATCCTGCGCAGGTCGGGTTCGGTCTAGATGTCCAAAACGATGTCATTTTGAAGGGCCTATAAAAGGCCTGTTTCTGGTTTTTTTTCTTTATTTTCTCCTTTCCCCTTTCTCTCTCTACCCAGAGCTCCTCTCTCTAGAAAACCCAGCCTCTATGCCTATCGCCTTGGAGTCTAGTTTTCGATCGGTTGCTGTCGTGCATCGATGGTCGGAAACTTCAACAATGTCAAAAAATTCAAAGATCCCCAGATTCGGTGGTCGAAAAATTCAAAGGTAACCGAAAAATTCAAACTTTTCCAGTTTTTAGCGACCCAAAAATTTTCTCAAAAGTTCCCCCAATGATCCTTTTTGCTTTCTAAACACCTTTCCAAGCCTAGATTTTTCAAAAAAAATCTACAACTTCCTAAATCGAGAATTTCATTCTCGAATTTTTTTTTGTTTGCTGTTTTTTTTTTTTTAATTGTGTGTGTTCCCTCTTATTGTTCTTTTTTTTTATCCATTCCTTACAAAAATTAGCTCTATTTATAGAGCTTTTGAGATTCAAGATCCTAAATATTCTAAGATCCTTTTGTGAAAAATTTGGGTGTCATCCGGTGACTTTTGGTCACCGGATTTCATGCTACCATGTTAAGCAGTGTCAGGAAGAAATTTGGACCACTCTGGCAGCTTGATTTCAACTGCTAGAGTTGAAATCAAAGACTTTTTTTTTACTTTTTTTTTCTTTTGTTTTAAAAATTAATAATAATAATAATAATAATAAATAGAATTATATAATAATAAAACAAGAAGAACAAAATTGGTGCCTACATTGCGAATTTATAATCTCTATGAAACTTGAAACCTTTGCAAATTTGAAACCTCTGAAAAACTAAAATTCTTACGAATCTGGAACCTATGCAAAACGTAAAACTTTTACGAATCTAGAATGTCTGAAAATCTAAAAAATTTTGTGAATCTAAAATGTTTAAGAATTCGAAACTTATGCAAAACTTGAAATCTTTGTGAATCTAAAATTTCTGAGAATCTTGAATCATTTACAAACTATTGGAATCTTTGTGAAACTTAAAATTCTTGCAAACCTTTGTAAATCTTGACTTTTAGTGAATTTTGAAATCATTGCGAATTTTTTACAAATTTTGGAGAATTGGAATTTTTCAAAATTTTTTATGGAACCTTATGAATCTTTGTAGTTTGTGGACCCTTGAATATGAATATTTGGATTTCAAGCTAAAATTTTTCTAGACTTGGGTGAATGGATGTGTTTTGACATTTTCTATTTAAAGTTTTTAAAATTGTTTAACCTCTATGGAAAGGAACCCATTTCTTAATTTAAAGTTGTTTTAGCTTCTACATAGAGAAGCTCATTTCTTAATTTTAAAGTTGCTTACTCTCTGTATAAAGGAGCCCATTTCTTATTTTAAAGTTGTTTAGCCTATGCATAGAAGATCACATTTCTTAATTTAGATTTATTTGCCTCTATATAGAGGAGTTTAATTTGCTGAACCTCTGTTTAAAGGAGTTATTAAAAGTTTTAAGCTTTATGCCTTTGTTTAAAGGAACTTTTTAAATTTTTTTGAAAATCGCATTCTTTTAAAATTGCTTAAGTTGAACCATACTCAATGGTTGTTTATGTCTTTACATCATTTTTGTTTCGTGAAAATGTGCAAAGAGGGCAACTGTAAACATCTCATTTCATTTGGGGTGTGCATCCAAATTCTTGGTTTAAATTTTATTGAGATTGTCGGGCTTTGAGCCCAATGTATGTTATTTTGATGTGGGCTCTGCCCCAACAAATATTTTTATTTTTATTTGTTTGTTTATTCTTTTATAAAAACTAAATAAATAAAAAAGAAAAGAAAAGAAAATCAAACAAAAGTTTTTGAAAATCTTGCACAAGAATTGAGCAAGGAGGAATTTTTGGGTTTTTTTTAACCAGCATGAAATAGGAAATCAAATAAAAAAGGATCATAGAGCATTGAAGCTAGGGTTTTTATTAAATTGATTTTACTTAAATTAAAGAGATTTTAAAATTTTTTAAAAATCCTTGACAATCAATGGAACCCTAAAATTTTTGACTAGAAAATCCTTATAAATTGTTCTAAGGCAGACAAAGAACAAGGGTGGAGAAAATGATTATGCAAAAACTCTTGAGAAAAAAGGGAAAGAAACATCATTTAGAAAAAAGATATGATTTTTGGCAGTAAGTTTTTTTGTGGAATTCTTTGTAGAGTCTAGAATTGTGAGAATTTATTCTAATAAGCCGTGTAGCACAGCCAATTAGCTGAGACTACTTTAAGTTTTTTTTTTATTTAGCTATTTTATTTATTTATTTGATTATCTATTATTTTTAAATATATTTTTATTAAAAAGTATTAAAATAAAAGCCTTATCAATATATTGCAAGGGAATCAATTTTTTTTTTTAAATATAGTTTTGCCAACATTTAGAAAACTTATAACTTTTTTTTATTTAAAAAAAAAAATTATCAACAGATTGGAGGGCCAATATTTTTCCAAAATAAAGTTTTACCAACATATTAGAGAGTCTTATCATTTTCAAAAAATTCAAGTTTAAAAAATAAAAGATTTCCTGTTTTATTTTGTATAAAAATCCTCTCATCAGATTGGAGGATAATTTTCAATAAAAAGTCTTACCAATAGATTGGATGATATTTTTTGTCATAAATTTGTTTATAGATATTTATTTCTAGAAGTCAAATTAAATAAATCTAACGACAAATCCTCTTCAAAGTATAACAAATAATCTCCTTAAATACTCCTGAGATGAAGAAATATTTTTAAATTATTACCAACATATTGGAGTAATTTAAGAAAAATTTTAAATATTAAATTATTTGATAAATTTTGAACATATTTTAAGATTTGGATAACTTGAAATCAAACTGGTACCATTTTTTGGATGGATGCTATAGGATGCTATAACCTTCCTCATGTATAACCATACTTTCGGACCTAAATTTTGGTTTCGTGAACTAGAATTTACTATTTAAAAATAACTAAGTTAATCTTGAGATTTCTCTTTAAATGTGACAGATTCTGTCTAGTAACCAATCACACCTTTGAAAAAAAGATTGGTGGCGACTCCTTTAATCTATATCTAACTATAAATCCACAAATCTATACATTACGACGATTACCTCTTGGCAAATCCTCATCTCTACAACTAGGTTGCTATCAGCTCCTGCCTGCTGTTCTTCATGTCAGCTAAGTTTTAATGGTGTGATTTTGGTATTTCACTTTGGGTAGTGAGAGTGGTGGTCTCTGGCTATGATCATCTGTGTTTTCACTGTAATAAAAAGATAAGTTTGAGTTTATTATCTCATATATATGAAAGGAAAAACATACACTAGAAATCAAGGTTGTACTTGATATTGGGATTCATTTTGCAGTTTTCCTGCAACATTTTGCAAATTATATTTTCTTCCATAAATCTTTTGAGTTGACAAAGACATCTTTATTGCCTTTTAGAGAATATTAACTGATTATTTAATCGTTATAATTACAATTTACCACATACCTACGAGTCCCTAATAGACCAAGCACTTGAATCCAAGGTCTTCTGTGCTTAAAATATTACAGTTCTTTCCTTTTAATCGTCTTCTGATGTTGACTGCTTTCAAGATCCATAAATTTGTTCTTATAGTAAGCTTGTCTGTTGCATATTGAAGAATATGTAAGATCAGTACAAAAACCAGAATCAATTGCAAGTTTTATTAGGTGCTTAATTTCTAGATTAATCTTCATTCTTACTCTATAAATACAATGGCTTCAGGTTCGCATCTCCACACCTCAAAAATCTCCTTGCAAAATATCAATCAATTCTATTTTCACCCCTCCTCTGATCATTTCTCAAATCACAAGTAATCATGGGTGTTTTCACTTATGAATCTGAGGTTGTTACTTCAATCCCACCAGCCAAGATGTTTAAGGCTTGTATCCTTGACGGTGACAAGCTCATTCCCAAGGTTGTTCCTCAGGCATTTAAGAGTGTTGAGTATATTGAAGGCAATGGTGAGCCTGGCAGCATCAAGAAAGTTACTTTTGGAGAAGGTTAGTTAGTTTATACATGCAACTAAATACTTTGGATAATATATTGAATTAGAACTTACAAGTAAAGTTCCTTTTTTTTTTTCTTTTTAATTTGTGAAACAAAAGCTTAATATTTGCCTTTCTATATGCAGGAAGCCAATTCAATCACGTAAAGCAGAAGATAGAAGCACTAGACAAAGAAAATTTTGTGTATAGTTATAGTATAATCGAAGGCGATGCTTTGATGAACACTCTTGAGAAAATCACTTACGAAACCAAATTAGAACCCTCTGCAGCTGGGGGATCCATATGTAAGACTACTAGTAAGTATTACACCATTGGAGACTTACAGCTCAAGGAAGAGGAAATCAAGGCAGGAAAAGAAAAGGCCTCGGGAATGTTCAAGGCTATTGAAGCCTACCTCTTGGCAAATCCTGATGCCTGCTAAAAATCAAAATATTAAGAATTTGAGATAGCATCCACTTCAATGATCATACAATGTGGAATGCATATGTGCCTTTTTTTTTTTTTTTTTTAATTTCTAGTTTTAGCAGTTGATGGTCAATATGGCCTTCTTATTGCTAATAAGAGTTCACAGTTTGTCCTGACTACCAGGAAGCTTGAACTGAAAATGGCAACTGCCTGTAATAAATAAAGAAGCATCGAATGTGTTTAAGCTTTAAATTAAAAGTTGTTTTCTAATAAAGCTATCCATTGAAAATGATAAGTTTGGTATCTTTATCTTTCAATATTTACTAGTTACATATCTTGAACATAACAAAGTCAAGTTTCAGAAGAAATGTGAGACACACGTACACTAGTTCTCTTCGGACATTTTGTCCGGAAAGTTAGAATTTTGTGATTGTAGTTAAATTGAAATTTAAATCATATGATAACTTTTACGAGACCGATTAATAAAAATTCTTTGTTTGAATACCAGGTAGTATGAACAAGGCAATAGATATGGACGTCCAATCTTGTGCTATAACTTGACCTTATGTTTCGTTTGTTTTCCTTTTCCCTTTTGCTTTTCAGGATGCTTGAATGAAATTCAAATTCAAAATTTTATATTATATATATTAAATCTTAATTCCATAAAAATCAATAACACTCAAATAATCTAGGATATACATATTCTTCTGGTTTTTCTTTTCTCTAATAAACTAGAAAATCAAAGTTGTCTTCATCAAAATCAAAGTTTAAAATTTAAATTTCAGATATTTTTCCTTATCCTTTTACTGCAACTGCTTTTGTAAGAAAAAAATTGCCTTCATCTTATTACATATTGAAATTTTGCAGTCTGTTTTGATGACCAAAGGCCACATTGTCAATTGTAATTATTTCTTGATCCAATCTTTCTTTTTTCCTCATAGATGTCTAAAGGTTAAAATATTAAAAAAAATCTAAAATTTTATTATTTTATTTAAATAGACTCTTATAATTTTTTATTGTATTTAAATAAATTTTTATATTTTGATTTACAGCTAAATAAACTTTTATTTCAAATTACTATTGCAATTTTTATTTTTCTAGTTCTCTTTAATCGTATAAAAATTGACTTTCATATAAGTAAAAGTTTTACTTTACGTATTTGTGATAGTGAGAACTGAGAAACTGATGTCTTACATACATTATCATGTATTATATTAAGAATTTAATTAAGTATAAATTAAATATTAAGAGCTTATTTGAATGCAAATTAAAAACTAAAACTTTATTTGAGTATAATAAAAATATAGGAGTTTATCTAAATAGAGTGATAAAATTCAATTTTTTTTTTATCATTTTAGCCATGTCTAAACCAACTAATATCATAAATGCTAGAAATTTGATTGTTTATTTGTTTAGGGAAAAAAATAAAAGCACTTAATTAAACATTATTATCCATGTAATTAGTCAAATTTGAAGTTCCTTGTCAGCACATTTGATTATTCCCTATATTTTTCTTTCTACGTATATATGTAAAGAATTTTCAATAAAAAAAAAAAAGCAAATACATAGCAAAGGAATTGGAACAAAAATGACCAATTGGAGATTTACTGTGAAAAGTTCTCATGCAGGGTGCATGCTTTCTTTGACTAATGCAAATTCTTTGAAAAGTAGTGACTACGTTGATATATCCAACCAAAAAAATGAAAAAATTAAAATTTTCAGCTTCAAATACAGTCTATAAATACCATCTAGTTCTCAGTTTCTTCCCAACGCCTCAAACAATAGGTTCATCATCCTCTTTTCTCCATTTTTGTATTGTTAATTTTGAACATTTTCAAAATCCTAGTTTAAATTTCAATATAATTTCACTTAATATATTTTATTATTCAGTTAACCAAAAAATTAACCGAACTTACTAAATTAATTTGAGTCAGTTAATTTTTGAAATAAAAAAAATTCAATTCAGTTAATGAAAAGAAAATAACATAATTCAGTTAATTCAATTTGAAATTAACTAAACTGATCGGATGATGTTTGGACCAAATAAACACTAACGGCTAAAAGCTGCAAATGAATCTAACTTTAAAAAACTTTCATTACTCATTATAATTACAATTTACCACATACCTATGAGTTCCTAATAGGCCAAGCACTTGAATCCAAGGTCTTCTGTGCTTAAAATATTAGAGTTCTTTCTTTTTAATCCTCTTCTGATGTTGACTGCTTTCAAGATCCATAAATTTGTTCTTTATAGTATGTTTGTCTGTTGCATATTGAAGAATATATAAGATCAGTACACAAAACAGAATCAATTGCTAGTTTTTTTAGGTGCTTAATTTCTGGATTAATCTTCATTCTTTCTCTATAAATACTACAGCTTCAGGTTCACTTCTCCACACCTCAAAAATCTCTTTGCAAAATATCAATCAATTCTATTTTCACTCCTCTTTTGATCATTTCCAAATTACAAAATCATGGGTGTTTTCACTTATGAATCTGAGGTTGTTACTTCAATCCCACCAGCCAAGATGTTTAAGGCTTGTATCCTTGACGGTGACAAGCTCATTCCCAAGGTTGTTCCTCTGGCTTTTAAGAGTGTTGAGTATGTTGAAGGCAATGGTGAGCCTGGGAGCATCAAGAAAGTTACTTTTGGAGAAGGTTAGTTAATTTATACATGCAACTAAATACTTTAAATAATATATTGAATTAGAACTTACAAATAAAGTTCCTTTTTTTTATTTGTGAAACAAAAGCTTAATATTTTCCTTTCCATATGCAGGAAGCCAATTCAATTACGTGAAACAGAAGATAGAAACACTAGACAAAGAAAATTTTATGTATGGTTATAGTATAATTGAAGGCGATGCTTTGATGAATACTCTTGAGAAAATCACTTATGAGACCAAATTAGAACCCTCATCAACTGGGGGATCCGTATGTAAGACTACTAGTAAGTATTACACCAAGGGTGACTTTGAGATCAAGGAAGAGGGAATCAAGGCAGGCAAAGAAAAGGCCTCGGGAATGTTCAAGGTCATTGAAGCCTACCTCTTGGCAAATCCTGATGCCTACTAAAAATCCCAATATTGAGAATTTGAGATAGCATCCACTTCTTTGATCATACAATGTGGAATGCATAATTGCTTTTTATATTTTTTTTACTTTCTAGTTTTTGAAGTTGTTGGTCCATATGACCTTCATATTGCTAATAAGAGTTAACAGTTTGTCCTCACTACCAGGAAGCTTGAACTGAAAATGTCAACTGCCAGTGATAAATAACGGAGCACCGAATCTGTTTAAGCTTTAAATTAAAAGTTGTTTCGTGATCAAGCTATCCATTGAAAATGATGAGTGCATTATCTTCCTCTTTCAAGATTTACATATCTTGAACATAACAAAGTCAAGTTTCGGAAGAAACTAATTCTGACACACTAGTGCTTTTCGGACATTTTGTCCAAAAAGTTGGAATTTTGTGATTATAAAATTGAAATTAAAATTACATGATAACTGTTACGAGATCGATTAATCAAAATTCGTTGTTTGAAAAGCAGGTAGTATAAACAAGGCAATGGATATTGAGGTCCAATCTTGTGCTATAACTTTCTTGCATTTCATCAAGCATCCTGAAAAGCAAATGGGAAAAGGGATAACAAACAAAAACATGAAAAAGTCAAGTAAAACCTAGATGAGTTTGAAAGATCATGCAGTATATTGCATATATATATATATATATATATATGAGTAACATGGCATATGTTGACATTGAATTTTTCTCAGCAATTACGTCCTTCACTAAGCTACTTGCTTTCTAGAAAGTCCAAGTCTTCTCAAGCATTTGACTGTATTTATTTTTCTTTAGATTTTTTCTTTTCTTACTTATGATGATAATGAAATCAAAGTTGTCTTCATCTTAACAACTTGACTTTTGTCCGATTGGTGGAGATTCTTCTTTCTGCAATTTTAATCCAATTTGCTCTTATTGTATTGAAATTTTGTAGCCTGTTTTGATGCCAAAAGGCCCAATAGTCAAATGTAATTATCTCATGATCCTACCTTTCTTTTTCATTCAAGTTGTTTATACCTTTTAATTGTTAGGAAAATGGGGTCCAGTCCCATGTAAGTGGTTTTGGACTAAGTAAAGGCCATGGGCCTTGATCTTTTATTTTATACAGAGCCCTAGCTACTTAATAAAAAAGAGGTGGGATTATTTTAGGTGTGTCGCAAACCAAGCAGAGAAAGAAAAAAAGCCGGGAAAAGCAGAGAGAGAAAAAAAAGAAGGGAGAGTTGGTTGAACGGAAGTCAATCCGTGGTCCGATTAAGTTGGAACCTTGTCAGGAGGTTTATGATTCAGAGTTCTACATTCGGAACGGTGAAGATCGGGTTTGAAGCTCTCTAGGAACAAATCCAGGGTGTATTTGTTGAGTCACTTATTTGGTGAGATTTCTCCAATTGTTTCTCTAGTTGTTGATTAGCTCTAGTTTTAGCTAGAGAAGAACTTTGTATAACTATTATTTGATAGTGAAGATTTTTTTGGTGGCCCGTGATTTTTTTTCCCTCTACACTAGAGGGTTTTCCACGTAAATCTTGGTGTGCTTTATTTTTCCTGCGCATTTGATTATTGATTGTTGTCTATTGCTTTTGTATTGTTGTGATTATTGCTTCAGGTACAACAAGTGGTATCAGAGCGCGGGTTATTTTAAGACATCGATACAGAAGCAACCCAGGATAGAAGTAAATTCTGTTTGAGATCATGGAGGGTGATACAGGTTCCATGATAAAATTGACAGCATCGAATTATTCAATTTGGAAGCCTATGATGGAGGATCATCTATACTGCAAAGATTTGTAAGAGCCAGTATTGGGAGATTCGGTTAAACCAGCGGATATGAAAGATGAAAGTTGGAAGAAGCTAGGTAGAAAAACGCTGGCTACAATAAAAAAATGGGTTGATATCAGCGTGTTCCATCATGTAGCGCAGGAGTCAGATGCTCACATTGTTTGGGAAAAATTGGTAGCATTGTATGAGAGAAAAATAGGTATGAATAAAGTTATGCTTGTTAAAAAGCTTGCAACTTTACAGTACAGGGATGGACGATCTGTTACAAAACACTTGAGTGATTTTCAAGATATATTTAATCGGATGACTACTATAGAGCTTAAGATGGATGATGAAATGAAGGCATTATTTCTTTTGGGTTCATTGCCAGACAGTTGGAATACTCTAGTTGTGACTGTTCTTAATTCAGCTCTTGATTATAAGGTGACATTGGAGATGGTAAAGGACAGTATGCTTAATGAAGAA